GTTGCCGCCGGCTACCAGCCGACGCCGGAGGACGCCGTCGACTTTTCGACGCGCGTCGCTTCCATCGTCTCGTCGTCGATCGGCGTGGCGGTCGACGCGCCGCTCGAGCCGGAGATTGAGGTGCAGGATGACGTGGTGGAGGAGGAGGAGGGCGAGGAGGAGGAGGAGGCGCGCGCACGCCCCCCCCCCCCCACCCCATCCACACACACACACGTGCGCACACGCACGCACATGCCGTCAGGACCCGCCCGCCACTGTCGCCGCACCTCGAGCGCCGCACACGGTGCCGACGGCTGCGCCACGCCCGCCGCAGGCGGAGGACATGGATGCCGAGGAGAGCACCGACAAGGACGAGGTCTGAGCCGCTGCTGCCCGCGGCGAGGGGTGGGGCAGGGGCGAGAGAGCTCTCGGCGCAGTCGCGGCTCTCCCGCCGGCGCGAGATGCGGAGCAGGCTTCGCGCCCCTTCGGAGGGCGGCGAGCGGAGAGGTGTGCGCGGCGGGGGTGTCACCGCGCGTCGCCGAACGGCGGAGGAGTGTACGGTAGGGCGTGAACATATAGGTGAGCAAGATATGTGAAGAGATCTGAGAAGATTTGATTGAGGAGATGCCTCTCTGGGGGGGCTTGCCCGGGGCAACAGCTCCAGCTGCTCTCGACTAGGTCCAGCCCTGGGTGGCGCAGGTTGTGACATTTGGCGATTCCGCGACTTACTGGGCCCCTGAGCCGCTACCCGTGTGCGATTTTTTGTGGCCCGGACATGATACTGATAGTAAACGGGTCAGAACCGGCCAAACACAGGCTACAGCCCCACACACGCGCCCGCCATAGCTCCTGGAGAGCATGCGCGAGTGACGCGCTGCAAGCCGCGAGAGTGGCATCAGAGGCAGGAACGACGTGCTCTTGCTGCACCTCGCAGCTGCACCAAGTGTGCTCGCAGTGTATGCCACGGCCACTGCCTGCGGCATTGCTCTCGTGCAGCTAGGCGATGCAGGTCCATCAGCAGGGCTCATCCAATGCGAGCGCACATTGTGCGTAGCCGCGGGCAGGTGGCAGTGCACAGCACACCGGCTGTGGCGGCTCGAATGCCCCCGGCAGTGCTGCTAGTCATCAACTTGCGTATTAGGGCCGCAGCAGACTGCTGCTGTGGCAGCAGCAGCAGCCTGCTGCTGCCTGATTCAGTCAAGCCAGCGGTGCAGCGAGGCGTGCAGAATTCGCGCGGTTTTGTCCCTCCTGAGGCTGAGCGCATTCGAGCCCGTCGACCGGAGT